TAGGTAACCTGACTCATTGTTTTGGATGTCATTGATCCAAGAGTGTACAATACACCTACTGTTCTGATCTCTATTGTCAACAAAGTCAAGTTGGTCAACCTTTATGTAACCATGCTGTAATTGTACCATTTTGTAAACATATTATGTCATATAATTGCACTGTGTAGGTTTTCATCAGTTATACAAATACCTTGGATCTACACAAAGAATCATATGAAAGCAATCGTACTGCAATTTAACTTTACTTTGCCTTTGTAAGGTCATGTATTTTTTCCCGCTAGTGCAGTATACTGATGGTACAGCACATTCAGTAACCCTAACGCTAACTATGAGATGAGCATCCTTGTATTTCCCTTAACCTCAGCAGCTACAACTCCAATTTTATACCTTTGAGTTTCTTATCAATCTTCATCTACAGGCAGCTTGTGTTTATTGCATTTCCTTAATTTAATTTTCTATTTCTGTAAGAAATGTTCTCACTGCTTTTTTGTTTTGTTTTTCCTCATTAGTATTTGTATATGTCAAGTGTAACAACCATGAAATGCTCTTCAGAATAAACTCAAGTGTAACTGAACAGTACTGTCTTGTCACTATTTCTCCCATTTAGGCTACATATATCTTCCTGTCTGGAAGCTCAGTCAAACTCAGAGAGTTTTTTCCCACTGAGCTGAGTGTGCTCTGTCTAGTCGTCTGATCCCTCTCCAGGGTTCATCCCTCCGGCTGATCTTATTCCGTTCTCCAGGAAACATTCGCTCTGAGCTGCAGGCTTCTCCCCAGTCACTACTGGATCTCATCACATCAGTGGAGAGGGGAGCGTACAGACTGTATCACTGAAGTCCTTTGCAGCGAGGATATTTGGTTGTGACAGTACAGATAAACCCTTGATGTTATGCTGCTAGTCATTTTAGTAGATTGTGAAGGGAGTGAAGAAAGCGTAGAATTTAGATAACTGATGGTAGTTAGTGACATATGATCAAACTTTAATCTATAAACATTGGCAAGCAGGCACGCACAAGTGCAGTATGTTGTCACATGCATTAATGCCTTCAGATCAGAGGGTACACACATATACAAACACACTCATCTGGAGACATTACTGCAAATATATTGTGATATTGTGGTTTTAGCTTAATTGGTAGCTTGCTAACATAGCAAAATGCTGTCTTGAGTGGATAGCGGGCTGATCTGGCTGGCTAAATGAAGTGGCTTGCCATTTGCAGGTTACTTGCACAATGGTATTCAACATCAACTGGATAGCAGCTGACTGGCTAATCTCAGCTTGTTTGCTAACATTATCGCTATTTGGCTACTTCACCAACTAATGAGATTTATGATTTACAAATGGCCAGCTACTTAACTGCAACCAGTGGTCCAAATAAAACATAGGAACATGAGATAGGAACATTATTCTGAATGTGTGTGTAATTTATTTTCTAAACATTCAGTGTTCATTTCAGCATTCAGTCTCACATAGTCTATGTCACTTTTGGTCACTGCCAATGTTGTTTGCTCACACCTGCGGACTGTTGTGTGCAACAGGATGCTGAATGCAGCTTACCTAACAGCCAGTGGTGTCATAATTTACAACGATTTTCTGAAAGTTACATACAGAACCTTTAAAGAAATGCCTCAACAGAGAATCTGCTGCTATAAATTGTTAGATCTTAAATTGGAAAGGCATATGACTAAATAGATACTCTCACTGCATTGTATTGCACAGTGTTTATCTTTTAGTTTGGCAGGTTACGGTTTGCATTGGAAGAGACTGAAGGGTCAGAAATGTTACACATGGGGAGCACGAGTTTGACTTTGAAGTATGCATTGATGTGCAACAAGAAAACAATATGAGTGCAATGGTGGAGGTGACATAAGACATTCCTGAAAAGGGTTGTTTGATGAGTTATTTTTGAAAATTGAACTATTTGGAAATCATCCAACCTTTAACTAATAAAAAAAACCACCCCGAAGTGCCTCAACAGAAGAGTGGGCTGTAAAGCCAAAATAGGCCCTCCAGCCAGACAGCTATCACCAGCCTTACAGGAGGATGTAGTGTCACATTGGTGATACAAAATCTAGTCAGTCAGTTTTCAGATGTCCTGCATTGGCCCTAATGTTTTCCTAAATGTAAAACTCAGTCTTCTACCTTTATTAGCTTTTTTCTATTGATCTATATTTTACAAATGATATTCTTTTTAGATTTGTCACTCTCAGAAGCAGGACAGCCTTTAGTGCAATTTCTGTCATTTTTCTGCACACCAACCTAATTTTAAAACATATTTCAATGTGAGCATACAGAATTCATTTGAATCAACAGAATTTATGGAATAAAAATACATTGTAAACAGACAGTTATGAGGAAGTATTAAGTGTATATAATACCCATAATCATTTTCACTGTTGCCTTTTCTATCTGTATATTAAACCATGGCATTGAAAGTATTAGCAGCAACACAAAAATATTGAATGTATTGGATTAAACGTTTCTATGGTGGCATATTTTCTTTGAATTAGATGAAGTTTTTTCTCCCCCTGGTGATGCTGACATCATGTGCTGCAACTCCTCAAGGTGAGAAATATATTCTTTATTTAATGAATATTAAAATGAAAAATAACAATAAAGTTGCACACAAGTGTAGCGAGTCGATAGGAGCATGATGGCTTTTGCTTTTACCTTTATTCTCAGGTATGAAAACAACTTTTATAGTTTAACACGGTGAAACAAATTCTTTTTTGTCATATATGAATAACAGACTTAATTGTATAACTGTATTTGTTTTGTTTTAGGACATACAGTTGCTTGACTCAACACAGCCAAAAACACTGATGCTCATTCCATTTTAAATCATGAATTATTCACAGAAGAAACTGATATACTTATTAATGAAACAAAAAGGCAGTGGATAAAATAATAAGTAAACTAAAAAGCTTAGTGGGATATCAAAAAGGTTTTTGTCAATAATATTCTCTCTGTCTCTGGGAAATGTGATTGGCTGTTTTTTTAGAAAGTTTCCTCAAAGCTTCAAAGTCTTTTTTTCATAAATCATGAATGATGGGTTTGCCACATGGGGAGCAGTCCTTACATATATACCATTCAGACTTTAAGAATCAGTAATTCATATGTTGCTGTATGTTCCTGAAATTCTGGGACCTTCGCCACAAATTCTTACCGCAATTGACTATTTTCTTCAGTTCGCAGGCAAAGATTCTAATTTATGTTAAAAGCAATACATGTATTTTAGATACATGATCTCCACTAATTATTTGATTTTTGTTCCCACTGTGTAATTCATTCATTCTTTATATAATGTATGCACATGAACATCAAATCTCAAATTTAGCTCTCACTCACTTTCAGATCTGTTAGATGAAGTGTGTTCACCTTCCCACAACAAACCAACACATCAGATTACATCAAAACAAAATTTAAGTGTTGCAACTGTTTAAAATGAATGAAAGTCCTCATTTTATCTCTCACTGTAAAAGGGCAGCATACATGATCATTTCTTCTTAATGCCAGCCGGGTTTGATGGAAAACCTTCAGTTAGGTATAGGGGACCCACTATAATCAGGCCAGGTACAGTTTTATCGATGCATTGTATTACATAGATCATATGATATGATATCTGATGTCCACATGTGGGGCTTCATCCATTAACCCTGTGAGATCCAGGATCATGGATCATCTAAACTTGTGTTTCCCAACCTTTGTCTTTCTATCGTTGGATAAACCCATGACTAAGTGACATATTTCATGGATATTGCATATTATATTCAATGCATAAGAATAACAACTAATAAACTGTATATAATTAACCCCAATAGTGAATGCAAAATCTGCATGAAGTTTGTGTGAAATGAACAATGTGGATGTTTGAGTTTGAGCAGATTATTTCATGGATCATTGAATCAGAGGTTATTTTAGCAATCATACATACTTATTAGGTGTCTTTTTTTTGATAAATTCAGTGTTTACTTTTCCCTGATGCTTGGCCATTGTTCTGGCTCTTTGGTTGTTTTAACTGCATACTTTTCTAATGCAGGGCGAGGCTGTATAGCAGAGATTGAAGGCTCTGTGAATATGGATTGTGCCCATATCCTGTGAGGTTTATATAATAATCCATACTTTAAAAATGACAATTTCATTTAGTTTTCTTCACAGTAAAGTGATATTTTACATATCCCTCTCTTTACTGTTTTACATATGAATGTCTTTCTTGATCTATAGAGCTGAAGAATGAGCTTTGCTTACCACCAGTGGATGAAGTTCTCACTTTATAAGGTACATTCAGAGCACCCTGACATCACTGACAGGTGTGGTTACACATGCAACACAGCATACTTATGACAACTTTCAACCTGCAATTTCACGCTAAAACGAGTACCAAAATTGCACTGTGCTGCCTTATCTGAATAAACACAACCTTGGTCCACCCACCATGGCACAAGCAGGTTTGCTAGGAAAACACCAAACAAGCACTGAAGCGGTGACTAATGCCTATCATAACAGATATGGTGTACATGATAACACCTATCATAACTGATAAGGTTAGTCACGAGTGATCAAACTTTAACCTCTGTGTACAGATCAAAAGCTGATGCACGTGCAAACAAACAACACACAGTTGTTTACAAACTGCTTAAGAAAATACTGTACTCTTTAAGCAATGTAAGGATTGGTACCATTATTTAGATATATTTAACTTCCGATACAGTGAAAACTATAAAGACATTTTGTAAATATTTAATATTTTTTAATTTAATGATTCAGAAAAGCGCAAATAATTGTAAAATGTAGGCCCGCTTCACTTCAGCTTCATGGAGTGTTGGGAAATTTCTTTCAGCCTTGTTCATTTACAATGCAGAACCACGAAGACGGCCTCAGTGTAAATTATGTTGATTCAGCAGAAAGCTGGAAGGGTGGTGACTTTTTAAATTTAAGGAATCTGTAGCAAAAACAAAAAAAGAAGAAGAGGAAGAAGAAGAAGAAGAAGAAGAAGTAAAGGGATGTAATACACAAACAGAAATGGGGAAGCAGTGAGTACAAAACTTACAGTCCTAATCACTACTGCGCACAAAATCCAGACACAGATCTCAAGGTAAGATCTATACATGCAAAACTGTAGGAATTTAAAGTGACTGTAGTATATTTAATCATTTTTTAAATTACTTTTTCAACCTGTATTGTTTATTGTAGCTTCCCAAGGCAAATAACAATAACCTAACATAGTGTATTAGTAGCAACAAAAGAGCATTTTTCATGGTGTCTTTTTGTCTTTTAGATGAAGTTTTTGCTGCTGGTGGTGATGCTAAAAGCATGTTATGCAAGTCCTCAAGGTAAAATACAATCTTCATTTAACAAAGGGAATACCATTTACTTTTAAACTTACTTTTCCTACATTCCTTAGGATGAAACAAACATGAGTTTTTGCAAAATATGAATAGCAGACTTAACACCCAAATAACCCACATTGCATTTGTCGTAATACTTTGGTTCTTTCCTATTTTTACATACTTTATCATTTTCAGCTAACATGTTTCCAATGCAAAATTACAAAGTAATTAAAGAGTAATTTAACCTTTGGTACTCATATGCAAAAAGACAGGTATATTGTGTTTAAATTTCCAATTTTGTTGTCTTGATGGTTTTATGAATTGTGAATTTGTGAAGGACGAGTGTACAGGATTTATTGGCAGGTTGCAGGAGGTGCTATGGTGGCTGTGAAACTCTGCAAAGGGGCCTATTTGGAGTCAGTGTTTGGTTTGTCAGTTTATGTAACATCCTCCAAAATGTTACACACTTACCCCTGTAATTCTACTAGTCTTTGCTTTGCTTGTCTTGACACAGCCAAAAACTGCTGCTCACTGTACTTTCAGTACTACTTCTTTTTGCTGAGGAAAATCAACCGACATACGAACTTGTGCTGGACAAAGAATTACGGAGTATAGCATCAAAAAGGCTTTCACAAACCATTAAGAGCTTTTCTCTTTAAAGTAGATTAATTTCCTTCCTCAAAGATTTGAAGTTTTCTACCAAATCTTGAATGATGGAGTGGCCACATGGACAAAAAAATGCTTACATGTGTGCCAACAAAATTCAAGAGCGAGTGGTTCATATCATACTGTATGTTCCTAATTTTTTTTTTGTTAACTTTTAGCTTCACCTTAGGGGCAAAAATGATAATCTATCCCTCTTTTCAGATCTGTCAGGTAAAATGTTCACCTTCCCACAAGAAACCAACAGAGCTCATGTGAGGATGAATATATCGAGTCAGGATTTGGCCGCTGCAACTGTCTGTCACAGGTAGAACTGAATGTGCAAAATGCATGAAAGAGCCCATTGTATCTCAGACTGTGAGAAGTATCCTGGACAATAATGTGTTTGTAATTCCTACAGGTCCTTCACAGACCTCAAAAGAGACCACGTCCTTTTCTCTTTGGCCACACCCTCTAAAACCAATGCTTTTCTGCTTTTCTGGGATGAAACAAATAAAGAGATGGAGCCACATATCCTGGATAGAAAGTCAGAATATCGAGGGCAGGACTACAAGCCGAACATGTGGCACTCTGTTTGTACCACATGGGACTCTACGACTGGACTGGTGCAGCTGTGGTTTGATGGACAACCTTCAATTAGGAAATTCATCACCTCTGGAACAAACATCAGATCGTCTACTATTATAACTATATTAGGACAGGTACAGTTGTATTAATAAACACCATAGTTTGTTCAACAAATGCTGTATATGCTAACGTTTTGATTTATTGTGTGTTTTTTAGTGTATAGATTTTTAGTACAAATACTGCAGAATCTAGCTTTTATTTAAAGTTTCTCAAATCTCTGCAATCTCTACAGGAGCAGGATGCCCACGGTGCGGGGTTTGACCTTAAACAGTCTTTCATTGGTATGATGTCTGATGTCTACATGTGGGACTACATCCTCTCACCCTGTGAGATCCACAACTACATGGATGATCTACAGTTCACTCCAGGGAATGTGCTCAACTGGAGGGCGCTGGAGTTCCAGATTGTAGACAGAGTGCTAATTGAAGATAAACTACATATCTGTAACTAAACTTTTCAAACAATACCATCTATACTTTAGGAGTAAAAAAATCATACTTTCTGTGCTTTTATGTCCAATGTCAGCAATTTATGTTAAATCATCGTTTAGGATAGGTTTTGATTTTTTTCAATACAGTAATCACATGATAGACTTATTTTGGTCGCTCAGATCATTTTACCTGTCCATACCATGAAATGACTCCTCCCTAACATGACTTTGGTGTAGAAAAAGGGGTACAAAATCCATAGTCTTCCTCCTGTTCAAAGTTCAGCTAAAGGTAATAATGAGTTACCCAAATGAAGTTGGTTTTAACACCATCATTTTCAATAAAGTCATTCTATGGTGGTACTTTACAGCCAGTAAAGTGCTCAATGTGTTGTATGTACAGCATGCATGCAGTAAAAATAGAGTATATGTTAAGTTTACTGTGTTGTTGAACAGCCACAGACAGGCAGCCAAACATGACAACATGATACAAATTCCCAGTTGGTAAGGTAGTATACCTACCACATGGTCTTGGTTTTCTCCATGGTCCAATCTTACTGCCTAGATTGTTTTTTTTGTTGTTGTTATTTTTAATATGTTAGTCATAACAACTGTATGGGGCAATAATTATTATTAATTCGGGCTGTTGATCTGTAAGGTTGTTTTCAAGGTCATCTGCCCCCTACTGGCCAAACATGACAAATGCAGCTCAATTGCACTCATCTTGGCACTGTTCTATTTGTTTTTTGAAATAAACAATATCTTCACTCAATGGGACTGCACTACTTTGTTGTCACTCCCCTATATGTGAGTGGGAGAGTAGAGAATATTTTAAGAACAAAAATCCCCCAAATTAGTGCATACTTCTCGCCTAAATAATCTGACTAAGAACATAAGGAGAAATCACTTAGGTGTAAAAAAAAAAAAAAATAAACCCTGTGTAAAAAAACATTTTTTACATTGACCGAAATGCATCCAAATGGCAGAAAGCAACATCCGCTTTCACCAAGTACCTCAGCACGTCCCTTCTCTGACACGAGGCAGCCAGAAAACATCTCTTCTCGTGGAGTACATGTGGAGACTCCTAAATCCAAAGGATGTGGCATTAAGAGGAGGGCTAGCCCGCGACACAGAGACGACTTAACAAAAGGGACATAATCGTCAACCCTTGGCTCTAAACTTATTGCTGTTAAGCTACTCAACCATTTTCTCAAATCTAACTTAAACTAATCTACACCTGATGACAGACTTTAAGCTTTCATTCAACATTCAATATTTTAGCTTGATGATAAATTTCCATTTACCACAGTCATGAGAAAACATTGACACGCTTTGAAAAGGGGCTCAGTGAATGAAACACTGCCCCTTGGTGCCCCCTCATGGAGACAACTCTGCCCATAGAGAGTCTGGGCCTTTCTGCATACCTCCAAATCTTTAGCACAAATCAAGTGAAACAACAAGCACTTACGTCATTCTTCTCTGGAGTCAAGTCACATTTTCACTGGTGGCACTGGTGATGCTACAGGCTACTATCTATAGGGATTACTACAATAAATTAGGCTGCACAATAAAAGCAGCAACACTACTCACTATAAACACCTTTCTTTTAATATTCTTGTTGAATCAATAAAGAATTATGTGTAGCGTGAGCACTCAAAGGAGCCTCTTATGTCAAGCTAGCAGGTTCCTGATGTAATTCAGCGACATGAGCTTGTAATTACCTATTAGTTAATTCCTCTTCAGCGTAACTCTTGAATTTCATTACCTCTGACTATTCACTAGTGCACAAAAATGGATTGCCTTTAACTGCCATAAGTGAAAGCACTTCTGTAAAACTTTATCAATAATTTAGCTAAACTGATTAAAACTGGCACAGTAGTTAGCCTCTATCATGCCACAGGGATTACCTTCAAACTTTAATTAAAACTAGTTCTAATAGTTATAGTCAAGTTAAGTCAAGTCGAATTTTATTCATAGTCACGTCATAGATCACAAACTACAATTAGCTTTAGGGGGCTTTACAATCTGTACTGTTCAAAACCCTCTGTCCTTAGACCCTCGATTCGAGTAAAACCCTTTTAACAGGGAAAAAATAGAAGAAATCTTAAAAAGAGCCACAGAAGAGGGGTCCAGCTTCCATTATAGACACATTTTAATGACACAATTTCTGATACATAAAGATTATAAAATATATACACATACATACAGTATATATTTGAAAAATATGGATTTTATTCAAAAGATTGTATCCATAATAAACAATATCCATTAGAAAAAACTATTAACCCCCCACAGTGCATATTCATTTAGATTTTTGTTTAGGGATATACTTGCTATAGTCATGTAGGCCTGTCCATATTCTGGCAGCATGACTCTCTAAAGACCCATGGAGTAAAAAAGTTGAACAGGCAATTTTACTAAACACATTGTTGGGCTGACCAGGGGTGCGTCTCAGAAAAGTGATTTGCTAGTTTTCAGATCAGAAATTTTGGCAACATCATGTTTCACAAATGATTGCCGGTCACAATGTACAGATACATTTGCCCTACAGGGTTCTGGGTTAGAAGTATAGCCTTACTTTTGATCAGTGAAACATGTCAAAACGAGTGAGGAGGAAATTATCTAGTGCTGCAAAATTGGTGAAACAGGTCCCAAAAGCACACTTTTCCCTCACCTCTGGTGTGACTTGTAACTTGTGAAACACTGTGAAATTAACCTTGCCACCTTTTTGTTTTGTTGTTTAAAGTTGAACTATTAGCAAACTGTTTTGCTAGTTGTTTAAGTTGTATTAGTATACAAGTATATTTTAGTATAAATCTTTTTTCCAGTGAATAAAAAAAGAACTTTTTGACAAACCTCTGTCGCTGGCCAGATATTTATATATTTTTTTTTTGTTTACGCTTGATGATATGACTGTTGCTCAAAACGCAAGCAAACATATTTCCCCTCCCAGAAAAACAACCTAAATGTAGGAGGTTCTTTTATAACTCCTTACTTCTGTTCATGTAGCACATGGACTTACTATTTCACAATAAACTGCAAATTTCTCTTGGCACCATTTAAGCATCCAAGTGCACCTTTAAGAGATCAATCCTTAGGGAATTCTTCAGGAGATTTGGTCTATAAACAATTGTTTTTACTCACAATGTGTCTGTTTATGTATGCTCTTGGCAAAAGCCTTGATGGCTGGACACACTATAGCTGGTGACACAAAAAAGTGACACAAAAAACCCCCACAAACAGTCTTCTTTAGAGTCAGTGTTAGATTTGACTGTTCTGGGCTACTGTAGAATAATGGTGGTTCAACATAGCAGACGACCCGCTGCGTAGATATAAAAGGCTTAGTCTAAGGTAACAAAAACAAAACAGTTCTTATTTTCCGGTGTTTATACACTAATGAAAACATAGTTATGAATGCTATTCAATTTCCAGCAACAGATGTTACACACAAAAAGGCAAGTTAGAGTATCACAAAAAGTTATTACAAATCAACCTGGACTCTCTACACAAACAAATGTTACACATACACGTGACTGTGTTGTTAACTGATTTTTATCTTACTTGTTTTTCATTTTTAGAGTGACTTAACAACTCCAGGTTTATCTTTATAAGTGTAATATACCTTAAAAAACAGTTTTAATAGCCCTCAGTTAACTTTGAACATTTATGAATTACTGGAACCTAAAGCCATAAATTGAACCAATGACTGCCATAAGGAAGCAGTAAGTAAGTATAAAACACACAGTCCCATACACTGTTACACACATCATCCTAACACAGGACTCAAGGTAAGATGCAACGCATTATATACATTTTAATATAGAAGAATTTAAATGTATGTGCATATACAAACATACTTGTTTTGCCTGTATTGTACATTGTAGCCGACTAACTTAGGTTGCAGATTTATTTACAGTCTGTTACACTCTATTAGTGAAATTATTAGCAACATCTATGCATGTGATTTATTGCCTTTTGGATGGGGTTTATTTGTTTTTCTATTAGATGGCGTTGTTGCTTCTACTGGCGATGCTGACAGTATGTGCTGCTGTTCCTCAAGGTAAAAGATATATTCTTCATTCAACAAAGTTAAACAATTATCCTTTGTTATGTGAAAAATCTTTAATTTAATAGGGTGAAACAAATAAGCTTAATATTATTCACAATAATAACAGCAACAATTGAGAAAAACATAGAACATATATTATAATGTAACTTTTTCATTCCTTTTTTTCAAAATGATATGTAATTAATATGTATTAGGAGAATTACTTGGTCAGATTGCAACTTGCATTCATCAACAGCAGTCAATTCATTTTCTATGTGAAGCAGCAAATCTCTGGCAAGAAACATGGTGGTGGGGCAGACAGCAGCTATGAGTAAATGTATTTTGCAGTTTAGAGTGGCGTGGCTCTGTATGGATGGCAAAGTATACAGTAAATTAAACATGTTTCAGGGTCCATAAGATTTGATTTTTAACTTCAGCTTATCTATTATCAAAATATATTTTTATAAAACTTTATCTTTAATCATAATATTTGCTATTATTTGATGGATTTATTATATAATTTAAATTTCACATTCTGATTTTGAATTGTCTTTTGATTTTTTTTTTAAAAGATCTATCAGGTAAAATGTTCACCTTCCCACAACAAACCAACACAGCTCATGTGAGGCTGACTACAACAAGACAGAATTTGAGGGCAGTAACCGTCTGTCTCAGGTAGGATTGAATGTGCAAAATGAATGAAACAGCCCGCTGTATCTGTGACAATAAAAATCATAATGAATAATGTCTTTGTTATGCCTGCAGGTCCATCACAGACCTCCGTAGAACACACAGCCTTTTCTCTTTGGCCACACCCTCTGCTTTCAATGACTTCCTGATTTTCAAGACTGCTCCAAGCGATGAGTTTCATCTCTATGTCAGGGATAAATCTGTACCTTTTGTAGGTAACGACTACAAAATAAACACATGGCACTCAGTTTGTTCAACATGGGACTCAACATCTGGAGTGGTGCAACTGTGGTTAGATGGAAAGCCCTCAATTAGGAAATTCGTCTCCTCTGGATCCAACATCAACGGGCCCATTATAATTGTTTTAGGACAGGTACAGTTTTTCTGCACTATCTATACAAGGAATGGTTTGACATTATGGGAAACACATTAGCCTTTATGCAGAGAGTTAGATAAGAAGATCAATACCAGTTACTGTAAATGTGTAGCTAGAGTCAGCAGATATTAGCTTACCTTAGCACAAAGAGTGGAAACAGTACCTACTCCAAATATATTAAAATTGACAATGAATTCGTCCATTTTTCAAACGCTGAAATGTTTAGAACTACGGAGTTCATTCTGAAATGCTCCAGTTTTACTTGTACTTTAACAAACTGATAAAAAACTTTAATAAATTCTGTAGCGAAATGACTGCCTATACTTAGAAAGCTCATTATTGAAAATGTTTACAAATGATTCAAAGTTCGCTCTTACAGATGCTATTTCACATCATTTAGGAAGCTTGAAGAAACCCTCTCACTGACCTTGCACGCATAACATATGGTTTGTCCTGATCTCTTTGATAGCAAGTGGCATATGGTGTTGTTCTGAGTGCAATATGATTTCCAACAATGTCAGAT